GTCATGATCCTGGAGTCCCGGGATCGAGTCCCACATCGGGCTCCCTGCTCGGCAGGGAGTCTGCTTCTCCCTCTGACCCTCCCCCATCTCATGTGCTCTCTCTCTCATTCTCTCTGTCAAATAAATAAATAAAATCTTTAAAAAAAAAAAAAGATATTAATTCACTTGTTTTTAATATCATTTATTAAATTGAGCAAAAAGTGTTGCTTTTTAATTGGCTGTAAGTGGCATTTCCTTAAGAGCTTTCGAACCATGAAAGCAGTGAGGATCTATAAAGCCCTTTTTTATCTATGTTCGGGATGAAATCTACAATACATTACACACTAGCCACGTCCAGGCTAAGAAATAAGGTACCACATTTCCTTTAAAAAGACAGCTGGTTCTGCAACCATCTCTAAAAAAAATAGTTAACGGGAGCTTTCACATTCCACCTAAATTGTGCCGAGTGTCCACAGTGTTTATTCAGAGATGTAACAAATGTAATTTTGTCTTGGAGGCACATGTAAAATCCTAAGAGGGACAACAGAAAAGGATTCTTAGGATAAAATAATGAGCTAACACAAAGTCGTTAACTATGGAAAACAGTATTAAAAACATGTTGAGCTTGCTCACCATTAATTCAAAGAAGAACCAGGCTTGTTGCAAAGCCGATTCCCGAACGCCGCCACTGCAGACAACCCACTGCAAAGCCAGCTCCTCATGAAAAAGCTATCCAGAAGCAAAGCCAAAGTTATTATCAAAGTCATACGTGCTGAGAACACAAACCAGATAATAATGCAATTACAAATGAAGATATAATGAGAATAAGCAAAATAAGGCATGTGAACCATTCAATGATGCAGTGAGGACACCCATTAACGAAACGGCTGTTTATACATGTAAGACAGTGGCATGTTGAACAGCTGAAAAAATTACATGTTATCTTGCAGTAAAATGTAATTTTAAAAGGACAGGTGGGAAATAGCCTCCTAAATTGTACCTGCAAACAGAAACTAGACCAAAAACTCACAGTTACAAATACGATCTTGTTTGTGCCTTAAATACATATTCCAACATATGCAAATACATTCATGAACTTTGCTGGTACAATTTAGGAAATATCTTTAAAAATTTAAACTTTGATATAAGCCATTAATTTTCAAGTTTTCAGGTATCTGAAGTCTTTTTTATAAACATAGCAGAAATTTCCTGCCTTATAATGGATATGCATACAAAGCATTTGCAAAGTAGTGTGTATCGATATGAAAAAGGACTAACAAAACTGTGCATAAGGGAAGCAAATCAACATATCTTACTAAGAGTGATAATTTTTCTAACTCATCTTCCTTTCCCTGGAGATTTAAAACACAAAACAGAAGCAGTTACAGAAACAGAATTCAGAGTTGATACATTTTTTGGTACTAAAATTTGATGATCAAATTTGATTTCAAACAGTCAATCCCAAAGATATAAACATTGCACTAATATAAAAGAGCATACCCTGGAGTGGTATGCCCAAAAAGGCATCAGATAAGCAGTGCTTGCTCAAATGTATTTTTAAACAAATAATTTAAATGCAATTATTGCAACATACTGGCTACATAAAGAAATTTTACATCTATTTAACTGTTGGAACTTTCCCCCTATATGGATTTTCTTCATATGAATCTACCTTTTTAGTTGGTAAGCGTCCCGTTAATGTTTGTAAGAAACTTGACGTCTCTGTGTGCGAAGACATACGATTACAACTTCGATCCATAGCCTAAGGAGTGGAGGTGAATGAATGACGAGATAACATTAAAGTCCGCTGTGGAGGCCTCTGCAGCTCAAGGATTACATACAATTTTTCAAATAGTTCTACTTTGGATTCAACAACTGTTTTATTATTGCTCATCTCATTTTCACCATTTTAAGCTGCTTTAATGACAGTACATTAGAAGTATCAAAATGGCTTCTATATATTTTTAGTAAAAAGATGAATATTTTAATGACTATATAAATTCAGAGTGCTGCAAAGAATGAAACTTTTATCCGTGTGATCTATACACATGCACACGTCTAGTAAGAAAATGTAAAAAGTAAAAACATACTTCTCACTGGTTTCAGACCAAACAAAGCAATCAAGAAAGCACTCAATAAAGAAAATTAAACGGTTAAAATGGTTTCTTTCACTTTTCACTACTATCAAAAACTACTATTCGGATCTGCCATATACTTCAAATATAAAACACTTAAGATATTAAACACTGAATTAAATTCTTCAAGAACAGGAGCACTTCACTCCAAAGCCAATACACAGATGAGAAGTATATTTTGAGGTATCATGCAATATTAGCTATGAAGCAACTAGACTTAAATAAGCAATACCTGGTTCAACTAAGTTACACACAAATTTCATACTTTGCAACACAATACAAATTAAAATGGATTTTTGCTTCTGGTATTAAATCTTACAGCATGGGGATCATATACTGTTCACACTTAATTTCAGCTTAGTCCCAGTATTTCTAGTCAGTAATTATGGGGAAAAAAAAAAAAGACAAGATAGTAAATGCTAAGTAAATGAAAAGGATACGATAGCTACACTTTAAACCAAAAGCAAATGGAAACTGTCAGGTTTTTTTCCACACAAAATTTTTAAAAATTCCTACTAAAGATGTGCTCCCCCTACAGTAGAAACTGTTATCAAAGCCATCACTTGCATAAACAGCAGGCACTGAAATACTGACAGGGTTGGGGTGGGGGAGCGGGGGAGGGAGACAGGAAGTAGGAAAGGAGAGCATTACTGGTGCAATTGGTGGTATTCATGCATAGTAGTTGGAAAATGTGCTAAGTAAACAAAAATACACACTTTTTAATGATTAAAAAGCAAGCCACTGAAATCATAGTATGTACTAAAAAGTAATGTTCTAAAGGGAAACATCAGCAGCCAATAAAGAAACCTCTAATATAAACACCACCTGTGTTGATTCTGCACTTGGACTGGGGTTGGATCCCCATGGGGCAGCTTTTGGACCACCAGTGTTAACCCAGGAATTGGAGCGATCTAAACCCTAAGCATATAATAGAAAGCAGTTGGAAAGGAAAGAAATATTACATGTGGCATGCCATAAATTATTCTTAAAGAAATCCAGACTTTCCAATGCAAACATGTTTTTAATTAGTACTGTTAAAGCAACCAAATTTTTAGGCATCTAGAAGTATTAGTTCACCAAAATTACCTTACTACATAACATAATTTGTTTTTAAATCACAAAGAATATTAAGTATAGCATTTACAGATAATTTCTCTTTATGTAAAGGGATCACCGTGAAGTACCAACTAAAGTTCCCACAGCACCATACCCCCAAACCCTCTTTAAAGATGGCACGAGTTAGCAACATAATTTCCTCTGACTTTAACAAGGATCTAAGAGAAAAAAAAAGAATCGAAGTACATCATTTCATTCTCGTCTAAAAGCCTTTACTTTGTCACCAACTGAAACTTCTGTGTATTGATATTCCATAATTCTATTTGACCTTGTTTCCTCTTTTGCTTTCTTCTAAGGGAACAACAAGAGAAATTAAGAAAATAAAAAGAATTAAGAAAAAAAAAGGGGGGGATGACTAATATTTGCTCCTGCCTAAAAATGAGGGTGGATTTGGGGTTGTGCTCAGTTTTATTGTGCTTGTTGTAATTAAACATAATAGGCTACTATTTTATATAAATATTATTTTAAAAAGCATTATGATGGGGCTAGTCTGTAGGAATTACATCTTCATCATCACTATCGCTGAATTTAATATGCTAGTAATGTGTTTGACCAGAAGTGAATTACATCTGTTACTCTCTGAAAGAAGTTATTATCCCAGGTGGAGGGAACTGGGGCTTTAATTTCTTAAACTTGACTAATCATTAGAGTCACTTGGGAAGTTTTATAACATTCAGATTCTGGGCCCCATCCCCAGAAATCCTGATTCAGCAACCTGGGCTGTGGCCTGGGAATCTGCTATTAGAACTGGAGCCAGTTATAAGGGATTTTTAGAGGACTGTTGGAATAAGAATAATGAAGACATTGGGGAGGGTATGTGCTATAGTGAGCGCTGTGAATTGTGTAGGACTGATGAATCACAGACCTGCACCTCTGAAACAAATAATACATTATATGTTTAAAAAAAAAAAAAAAAAGAAGATAGTAGGAAGGGAAAAAAATGAAGGGGGGCAGAAATCGGAGGGGGAGACAAACCATGAGAGACTATGGACTCT